GGTCACGTTAGAAAAGTAGAGGTTAAAACTTTCCGTAAGGGTGAACACAGATACTATGTCCGACCCATAGGCGAGGTTGTTCTGTTAGTGTCTAAGGATAAGGCTTAGATAAATCTTTCTTTGCCATTTGTATTTCCTTTATTTTGCTACATTTTATTTTATAGTATGCAGAACAGTTTAAGTGTGACATCCTAAAGATGCCAGACGGGGAGTATTCTGTCCCTCATAGTTTGATATGTTTCCCTAAGCAGAATTATTTTATAAAAAGCTGATGTAATTCCTTGTTTAACCATGGGAGTTTGCTATTTGGTTGCCATCTTTCTCTGTTTTATTTCAACTGCGTCTTGCGTTTTGTTTGTGGTGGAGCCACCTATGGGTGAATAGATGTAAGCAGCAGGCAAAGTCCTCCATTTTGAGTCCAGCACAAGAGGAGTTCACTCGTGAACCGCTCCTCTATGTGCCCTTTTACCACCCGTTTTTTCTGCTGTATCTTTGGCAAGACATAATCTGTGAGTGTTTTGAATGTTACAGAGCCTTTCAGTTGTGTAGAATCAACATGTATTTAGTTTGTTTACAATTCGTTTTTCCTGTGAGCCAGCTATGCTAATTTGCTATCAATGCTAGTGGTGTTAATTACAGTATATGTTACTAATGTGTGTAAGACACATCTTTTTCTTTTGATTTTTGTACTAATACATGTTTTTGTATGTATTTACAGTTTTACAAAATAATAATAAGAAATGGAGAGACCACAGTTCTCTTGCGTCCCATTTCTTTTTGTGTTAAGCTCGCTGATAAGGTTGAGTTAGTGAAACACTCAACTGAAACCAGAAGACCTATACTAGGATAAACTACTAATATTACCAAAAGTTTTGTTATTAAATCAGGCCTACAAATGTTTTAGTACAATTCTTGTAACTGGAATTTGTTTTACCTTATATAAGATTAGGATATATTAGATCATGTTTTACAAAAAAAACATCTTTATATTTGAACCTCAACAATTTATTTTTGCATTTCCTGTTACAGAATGTGAGATAATTTCCTTAGTATAACAAATCCTGGTACACATGTTTTTATTTGCATGCAATTCCCTCTTCTACCACCAGAGTTAGGTGTTGCATTTATTCTATTTTAATTCTAATTCAACAGGTTATACTAATGCTAAATCTGGAGTAGCCATCTTTTTAATGCAACGCTGTCCCTTAAATAAACACATTTCAAACTTCATACAAACACTGTTAAGACCTCACATTTGACCAGGCCAAAGGAATCAAACCTAAACTGATAGATTGTATAGTCGCTGCACCTCTTTGAGCAGACGTATCTCACAAAATGTTTCTATTTTCTCTTATAGCTCACTCACTACACATCCAATTTCCCACAACCCCCTACTGCTGCAACCGTCTTCAGTGTGACTTTCCGGTCCATTTTGTGATCTCCCGCGGCTCCGCTCACCCTTTCTGCCGTGAACACACGCCAACTCGGCCCAACAACTTAGCACTATAAACAGTTGGCTATAAAACGCATGTTCAGCTTCTGCTCCCATGTGAACCGGGATGTATCGGGGAGGCAAACTGTCACGATTCAACTTGGCATTCTCCATGTAGACCCCGCAAACACTATTTAACATTATACTTGCAACTTATATGTTAAAGATTGTACTCATGTATGGATACAGTTACTCTAAAATAATCTCACTCATGTAAAACTCTTGTAAAGTTGTTGTCAGTAAGTATTAAAAATCAGACATTACATTTTTACAAAATTGGTAATTAAAAAAACATTTGAGAAATTATGAATCCTGTAAAAGTCACAAACAGGACAACATGTACGATTCTTTCATTTTGATCAGGATGAATATGAGACCATACAAAGTGCTATTGCAAGGTTTTATTGTAGACTTTTTTCTGATTATCAACATGGTATCAGAAAAATATGGAGTACAAGTCTAGTGTTGAACTTGAGTCTAGTACTGTGACAACACTAGAACAGACAGAAGGACCATTTGAAAAATTTGGAAAGGGCTATGACAAGTACTTTGCTGTTTTGAAATAATTCAAAACCGGAACCGTGGTCCATTTAAATCAAGTTTGGAGTAGTCCAGAGAAATGCATCCCATATTTTTAGCTGCCAAAAGGTTCACTGCAGTTTATAAGTGCTTTTCAAAGCTTTCAGAACTAATCTATCAACAGAAGCAATGCATTTCTGAATTATCTGAGAGCTCTGAAAAGCTTTCAGCTCATGTGGATTGGGGAAATATTGAATATATTTAATACATAGGCAGGGTGGAAATCACTAGGAACAAACTAACATTTTGAGACAGTAAATTGCCTCAAATATAAGTGAGTACTACCTTTACTTCAGAAAATACAAATGGACTTATACAACCTCTTCTGATAACCTTTCACATCCCCTTCAGAATCAAATCACTTCAATATTGACTCAACTCGCCATTGCCAATAACTGTGCAAATATCAATGTATTTTATGCTAATGATTAAGATACCAGCCCTCATTCAATTAAATTAAAAAGGAGCGACATTATGAGATCTTTTTAATACCTCGGGGTGTTTTGACTACACCTAAGGTCAAGGTTATTAAAAGCTACGGTGAATATGAATATGTAAAAAATGTTCAACCGCTGCTCGCCATCATTGGCAGTGAGGAATTCTTCAGACTCAAATACGGAATGACGGATGGCTTGTAATAGAAGGCGTGCAAACTGTTAAGCAAGTGCTGAAATGGTGCCTCCGGGCTTAGCTTTGGGGATTAATAAACAGACATGCAAAAAATGACAGCTACAATCATCTCACTATAAAAAGTAGGTCACGGGAGGAGAAAAAAAAAAAGAGGGGGAAAAAAAAATTGCAAAGGGGACATGGCTGATTCAGTGCGGGGCATTTGTGTCTAGTGCCCAAGCTGGAAATTATGTTTGGATTTGAGTGCTGGTAAAATAGAGCAGGGGATTACTCTGAGACCACATGTCCACAGCACATTGGCTTGTTCGCCGTAACATCAAGAGAAAGCAGTTTTATCTCAACATGGACGACAGACAGAGGCTGCGCGACCATTAGGCGTATTCTAGAGTGGCCACGAACGACTGCCCCTCTTTGCACCAATGTCCAAAGCCTGGAGTTGAGAGGAATGAGCCTTATGAAACCCTGTATAAGCTTTAAAAAAGAAGAAATAAAACAGACCAATAGTATCTGATTGTGAAACCAGAAATTAAAAAGAAAAATGGGAGAAAAAAAACTAATTGAAAACAGTCATTCAATCACAATTGCATAAAGGTTACATTCAGGTGAGCAATAAAAACATTGGAATCAGCATTGTTTTGATAGCTGGAGCCACTCTGCCTTACAGATACAACAATTAGTTAATACATGTGATTGATTGGTTCCAGGACCCCTGTCCATCTGACACTCTATGTCTTTGTCAAAAGAAATGAAAAAAATTTAAAATAAATTGCACATATGTCGTGTGCTGTGCAGTTTGTTAAATCAGGACTTGTTAAATCGCTGTCAGCCAGGCGGTAGGAGAGGGTGGAGAAGCTGTCGTGTCATTAGATCATTAGGAGAAGAGGGCCAGGCCGCCGAGAGCTCAGGGCGCAGATCAACGCATGGCACTGACTCACAATCACATCTGATTCATGAGTTGGACCAGACATAGCACCTCGTGAAGAAAATGGACTGATGTTTTGAGAATATAGTATAGGCCCAGGATACTTTATACATGTGTCTGTTTTTCCCCTCTGTGGGACGAAAAAAGTAACTCTTATCTTTTGTTAATTTTGTTCGTGTTATTGTGTGCAGTCAATTATTATTATGTGTTATTTTTTATTTTTGTTGTTGCGTCCACTCGATAGGAATTGTTTTTCATGGATAACAATAACGACAGACAGACACAAAAACATAACAAAATAAAACATGACACATTTCAGATTTTGTTGTTGTTGACATAAGATAAACTTTCTTGATCTCACAATAGAGAAATGTACATGTCACATCAGTCAAATTGTACAAAAGACAGACGTGTGCAAACAAACATGTTAAGTTAAAAAATATAGTCTGCAGCCGGTTTTATGTACAATAAAAAGTGCCAATAGCAGTGATGTTTTTTCAGTCCTAGCGCAGGTCTGAAATCAATCAACACAATTTCACTGAAAAAATAACAGAATAATGAGTGTTTTGGTGTCTGGAGCGCCTAATCTTCCACAATTAAAGTTCTGTGTTTACAATGGTATTAACGTGTGTGTCCAATTTGCTCTCACAAAAAAATAGGTCATGGAAACAGCAGGTTACAAAACAAAAATCTAAAGCGACTGAATGGGACCAGTGCTCTGTGAGGCAGTCTAAGCTGTAGTGACATGTCTGATACCCAAAAGGTGACAAACTGCGGGTGAGATCCTGGTGAGGAAGTGTGCCGCAAGGATCCACACAACTCTTTTATTTATATATTTTCTGCTGCGGTCTGACAATGAGCATTCCTCTGAGTAACAACCACAAAGTCACACATTGTACACACATTTGGGCTCCAACATGATCAAAATGTATTGGTGTAAGAAGAACAGTAATGTGGAGGAATACAGTGGGTCTGTCAGTGCATCTGGACATCCACAAGCCTCACGTCACCGTAAATCAGTGGATTTACGTAATTTATGTGTGTGAGGATTCCTGTGTGATGCCTGGTGCAGAATATTAGACGTAACAAATATTCTGATTATTTTGAAAGTGTTGTTTGATGAAGGTGTAATGCCAATCTGCCTCCCCAGAGAACGGGACAGATGTGATGGATGTGTTTTTCTCCACAGGAATGAACAATCAAGATATTTTTGAACAGGCATGTTAAGGGGTACCTTTCTGCTCCTAACATGAAACAATACTTCTTCAAAAGAGTGTTAATTTCCTTTGCATGTTAGACCATGCAAATGTCACAGCGTGTTGCTAATGCTAATCTTTCTCTTCTTTCCTCTCTCCTCTCATTCTTCTAACTTCACAGCTGTCCAACGGAGACAAGGTGAGTCTTTATCGCAATATTCATTCAACAACACTGAACACATAAATAGAACATTTTGTTAAAATCTTGACATCTTGACAATTCAAAAGACATAATGTAGCACAATAGCCGTAACATTGTCTATGGCTGCCATGTAATAGTAGTTTCAGTTTATCAGTATTAGTAGAGAGAAGGAATCTGACCTCATTTATGATCAACATTGTAAATATATGTACTTTTCTCCCTTATCGTGTTTGATAAGTTTCTCTTTTTACTGCATGAAAGCTTTCAAATGCACCCGGGAAGCTTTCGTTATAGCGTGTTTTGCCATGGTTTGCCGTTGTGTAAAACCATGCATAAAGACAATACAAGCTGAGTATTGGTGTGTTTTATTCTTAACGTTATTCTCTGTCCCTGTCTGTCTGATTTCTCTGTTTCAAGGCCTGGCACACCTCAAGGCAGAACAAGGTACTTTCATCCCCTTTCTCTTCTCAGTGCTCACACGTTGCTTTTGGTTTGCTCTGTGTTTGTGCATTTGCGAGTTTGGCTGCTTCCATTGTTGCTGCAGTGGAATGTGTGTGTGTGTGTGTGTGTGTGTGCGTTTGTGGCTTGAGGTGAAGGTGCATGGCGGCGTGGCATGTTCCCATCTAACCTTGGACTTGGGCGCTCATCGCTTCTGTGTCTGCTCACCGTGCGTTCGACCCCAGGTTTCTACGTATTACATAATTGTGCGTGTACTCGTTTGCACGGCTAACTCGCAGTGACACACTCCGCTGTTCTGGCACAACCCCTGCAGTGACAGGACGGGGAGGGCAAAAACAGAAAACATGTCGACATCAGTGGAATGTGGGCAGACAGAAGGAAAACATCTTAGTTTTAAAGAGAAACATAGGTGAGACAGAAAGAATTGCCTAACGTGAGACCAAAAGTAATGTTGAATTTTCCGTGAGTGTGTGCAATACAATTTTGTGCAATACTACTTGCTCAAGAGCTAAGAGAAAATAGTGAATTGTGGGCCACTTCATAAAAAAAAAAAAGTTGTTAATATATAAAAAAATATACCCACAAGGTGACAAAATATGAACGCCGATATTATTACTAATATTACTTCACTTTCAAATACAGGCACTTACACGGTTGAATGAAGTATAACTATAAGGCTATGCTCTTTGAATGTACTCAAAAGTGGTATAGCTAAAATAATGCAAATTTTTGACCACCTGTCCTGTACTCTACTAGAAAACCTCTACACATTTATTTTTTGTATGTACTATGTTCTATTACCACCGGAACTACAGAACCCAGATGGTGAAAGCTGGTTGTACTGGGGTTTTTGCCTAAACCCTTGACCTGAGCGCCCCATGTTCACAATAAACTCGACAAAATGTGTTCCAGACCGTTCCAAGTTAAAGCTGTTTGCGCAAGTTTACCATGGAGCGTATTGCAAAAAAAAAAAAACAGGGCTTGTCGTCCTCCCTCCCTCCATCTGCTATCCCCCACATTGTCACCATGTTGTGTGAAAGTCTGTAACATTCATCCATTTTTACTAACAATAGTTTACCCTTCCTTTCTGCTGTCTTTCTCTCTCGTGCTCTTCCTGGGATGTCTCCAAATCTTCCCTATCTTACCAAAACCTATAGGCAGAGGCAAAGGTACAATGCTTTTCTTATTCCCAATGTAATGTCCTGCATTTTCTGTGTCTGAAATTAAGTTTTAAAATGTCCACCTTTCCCTTTTGTCCAAGTTTGTGACTGTTACTCTTGTGTGCTGGCTCGCAACGTTATACATATTGAACAAGCTTATTGCATTTGTGGCTCTCAAGCGAATGCAGTTTTGAACTATCTTTAACAGCCTTGCAGAGTTAGAACGTATCAATGGCACCCTAACAGTATGTAGCCTCATGTGCGGTCCCAAAAGTGAATTTTGAGTTTCATTGTTTATATTGTACGCCACTGCTGTCTACGTTTGCTTTTCTCCCTTTGGAACGTTCGGTATTGTAGACTTGCATCAGCATATCTGGGCAGTGTACTGAAGAAAGGTCCGCTGTGGGTTTGATTCTTTGCCAGTATGAAGTATTCTTGGAGTAGTGCACTGGTCGCTTTGGGGAAATCCACTGGCCTCCTGGTGGGGTGTCCCAGTTTGCTTTCAACTCTCCACATGCAGACTTCCAGATTGGAGAGAAGAGAACAGGTCGTGGATGCATCCCGGTACATAGGAAGGCCTGTGTATTTTAATGTTATCTCAAGATGTTCTCAGAGCTGTGCTGTTTCTGGACTTCTATAAAGTGTAGTGGTAAGCTTAATTTGAAGTGTCTTCCGAATGGGACACCTGCAGAATTCCCAAGGCTGTTGAGTGTTTTGCATGAAAGTGGCCGCTGTGGTGCATCTTATGGGATCTTATTAATCACGCTATAGTCCAAGAATGTTCATTATGTCTGCTTTGGACTTGTTTACTACTGGTTGAAATGTACCTTTTTTACAACGCCTTCTCAGGAAGTACCATTGACTGATAAATTGCATACTGTCTATAGTTAGATTGACAGACGGACAGATACATGTATTTGTTATTTGCACAGGACAAGTACAGTTACAATCATTCAAATAACATGCTGATAAAAGACATCAAGGAAAAAGCGACCAAGGCCGGTTCTGATGGTAGCTTGCAGTTGGCATTGGCAGTCCGAAACATGTTTTTGACAAAGATTTGTATATAATTACTCAATTTCACACGTCTCCTCCATGAGCTGCTGAGGGTCTGTCTGGTGATGCAATTTCTCATTGGCAAGACTTTGTGAAGGTACATTATCAGAAGGATTTTGTTAAGACAGTGGATAATTTTGAATTTCGAAATTAAATAAGATTCAAAATTGCAAAATGTTGTCAAATTTAAATAAAAAATCACTGGTTATACATTGTTAATACAAACGTACAGTAAACGGTAATATGTTACCAATGAGATTATACCAAAGGCCAAAGACTTAGCCAGCCAACATTAGGCTTACGTAACAGTGTTGGGCTTTAAGGAAGGAAAATATGATGATGTGGACAATATGAATGTGCCTATAGTCTGTACCTCCATGGGTCACTATAGAACCATGCTTCTGCAGCAACATGTCCAATGGCGAACATGGAAGGCTGTGGATGTGAGGGGCTACGAAGCTAAGACTTAAAACAATTAGATGATATGCTGTAATATTGAGAATCAGTAAGGCCTTTCAGTATAAGCAGCAAATTCTTCAACAGAATCTTTTCATGACAATGTAGTTTGTTTTGTAAAGTGCTCACATCCACAATGGTGCGCGTTATAGTGGTTTGCAAACAGTGAGAAAATGTATTGACTTGAGAGACAGGGTACATGCATCATATTAAAGCCAATGATGTGTTTTGCTGCATTGTTATCTTGGGTGAAATCAATGCCTGTATTATATTTGGTTCACATATGCTTCAGTTCACACTCTGCTTTGATGTTGATCGCTAACTTTTTATACACCATGACACTGGCCCCAGACTGGTGCTCTACTTACTGTCTACGCTCTACTTAGCAACCTGCCTTGGTCCATTTACCAGATCAAAAATATCTGATCTTCTTCAAAGGACTTGCAATTTTCTTTGTCTTGAATAATTTTGGTGCTAATAAAGTCATAAAGTCCCTATTGAGAGCAGTGGATGACGATCTGTTTCACACCACTGGTTCGCGACATCATTATAGTTTTATTGTAGTATGAGACAGCTTAGCCCAAGGTCAGAGATGAGGCTGTCAAAGTGCCTGCAGGTATCTGCTGCCAGAGCTTGTGGCTATGGGCTCCATGTGCTTTAGAACTCCACAAAGAAAACATGGTTTCTCTATTTTGGGAGTGCAACAAAATTAGAAATGATATATGTTTTAACTTTTCTTTAAAACATTAAATAAGAATGGATTCAATAATATTTAACACAAATACTACTTGAGATGTATACACATTTATTTTGTCTGGAAATAAAGTCTTAGATAGATTGTAGACAGTACAGGATGGTGCACTCAGTACACAAACAAATACATGTTACATACATCAATTATCTAATTCATTGTAAAGATAAGACGATGATGGGGACACAACATTGCATTATAATACATGGATGTTAAATGCTTGTTGTGATTACCTAAGGTCCAAATAAACAAATAATGAAATAATTTACATATTTACATTTCTGTAAGAATATTTTTTCTGGGGATTCTGATGGTAGACTGAACAGCAATGAGCATAGGCAGAGTGCTGAAAGGATGGAGTTGTGGTTGGGAGATGGAATGACAGGCCGTGGGTGAGGAGACAGTGCCTTGAAGAACTGTGAGCGAGGGAGAGCAACTTTCGGGTAGGACTTTGAGGGATAATTAGGGAACGTGGAGAAAGTCCTAAAATACTTTATGAATGGATTAGACTAAGGGCTTGACTCCCCCACACCCCTGCAGCTCCAGAGAGCCACTTAAAAGGACTCAAGTCCCAGTTGCCAAGACATGCCCAAAAACAGCTGCTGTGGTGCCCAGTGTGACCTTGTGTGTTAAGGTCAGAACTAGAAAAGAACATCAACATTTGGCCAAAAGATTCTTCATTTAACATTTCATTTCAACAGTGTACGGAATCGAACAGTGCTGCTGAATATCAAAAAGGCTGTCTGAAAATATCATTTCAATGAATAGATACTATTTGTATAATTGATGATTCTCTATTCCATCCTGCAGTTTCTGCAGAGATCACTATTTTTATGTTAGTTATTTTTAGTTTTCCTTGCTGCAGATATTGAACTGTTTTATAAAATAATAACATATGATATAAAATAACACTAAAGGTCCACACCATAACGTGGCATTATCTTAATGGCTTCGATCATCTGTCTATAAAGAAAGTTTTCAGTTATAAATAGCAGCAATATTTGTTTAAGGGAAATGTATTTGGATAGCACATTTTTGGATAGCACATACACAAAGGAAGATGCTTAACACAACAAGAAGAGAAACATTGACATCATACAATCATACAAGGACATTCAATCATAGATACACAACACTCAAAAGAGTGTGAATACAATCTTTAAAGCCAGAGTAGAAGCTGGAGTTCCGGGATTTATCTGCATAAATCAAATATATCGATAAAATGTTCATGGCAATGTGTGGCCCTGTTTTTCCCCTGTAAGTTGGCCAGTTGATGCCACGCCGCCTCAAATGTTCCAATTTTAGGCAACCCGATAAGATCTCCGGTGCGATATTGGCAGGCGTCATTGGGATCCTAAGACTGAATACACATCAGTACCACCCAGTTGGTATCAGCAAAATGTTCTTTGAGACAGTTCCGCCCTCATCCTCTTGGGGCAGTATTCCATAATGATCCTCACATCTGATAGGTTTAAGATGGAGAGTTCTGCTTTTTGGCCTTGTCCACCGCTGCAGGATTCAGAATGGATTTATGTAATCCTGGGGACTTCCTCCTTTGAGCTCTGGGCCCCAAACCTGCCCAAACACATCCACGATATACGGCTCCACCTGAACCCACAGTTCGCACAGCACAAGAAAAATAGACCTTAAATTACTAGACCGACAATGTAATTAAAACCTTTCAAAACTTAGAAGTTTCTCCACCCCTCTAGCTGTTTTGGAGATTGCATTTTGCCTCGTTCTTTTGGCATTTCTTGTATTTCATAGTTGTAGATCAGCTATTTGAGTTTTTGACTTTCAGACTTTCATTTTTAAACAATATATTTTTCCTGCTGTTATTCCCATCCAAAAATCCATATCAAGTAAAGTGGAGTTGCTTGATGTCATTAGAGGTTTGCTTTGTTTACACCTGCACGCCGTCACCAATGCAAATGAGTGATCCAACGTCGGCCTCAAGCACCGGTCGGAGCTATTGGCGTTGGCATGCAGCGGTTGTGTTGTTGATAAATGACTATTAATAGCCAGAAGCTCAACCTGAAATTATCCTTGCGGTGCATTTCAGAGTTGCTTAAATTGAGGGCATGGGCCAAATTGATTCGCACACTGGCCGGGTTGCTACTCTGGACTTTCTACTGGGTTTTCGTTCATTACTCAAATTTCAATCCAGTGCCAAGTGCCGGTCTAGTCAGAAAAGGCTGTTTTGAAGTGATGTCAATTCTGTTTGAAGGAGTTGTGCCCATGTTTCGTCATGTTTCACATACCTTAGAGTCTTTATCATTCTCCCTTGTGTTATAGTGTTACTTTTTTCATTTTATTTTTTTTATTGCGTATGGCAAGTGGTTGAAGTCATTCTTTAACAGCAAAACATAATATTTGTGGATCATAACTTCGTATTCGTTTTTGGTCCACAAATGAAAAAACATCTAATTCTGTAGACTGAACTGGTTGCAGGTGAGACTATCAGATAAGATAAGATCAACTTTATGAATCTCACAGATTGTAGTAGGGCTATAATCACAACTAGTCAACTATTGAAATAGTTGTGAACTAATTTAGTAAACGTTGAACCTTACATAGACTTAAGAAGAGGTTTACTTTGATAATGACTCCAGAATTATATTAAAATGTGTTTCAAATATACAACATGTAACAAGTATCTATGAAGATTTCTTCAGGAGCATCTCTTGATAATCCATAAATTAACTGACTTTTGGGAAGAATAACAGGCCAACTAATCAATGTATCAAAACAATTGATAATTGCAGCCCTAATCTGTACTGCATGATTTGTGAGTCAATGAAAAACGTTGAATGGATGCTTTAACTGGATGAATAAAGTTATACTGTTATAAAGTTATTTGAAATCTGTTGATATTCTGTGCAATTCTGTGTGATGTTCAGAACCATTTATGGGAGAAATGGAACAGCTTTTGCAACGGTTTCGTCACAATCTAACGTCATTGTCTTACTGTATATCATATCCATCTTATATATTCCTTCATAGGTATCTCATATCATTCTCCTATCTTATTCCCTCAAGCAATTTGAACCCATTCCCCAGACAATAGACGCAGACCAGGCTCCAGTGCACAAATGCGTCCCTTTTCAGTCACCGTATCCAGTCACCAAGCTTGTCGAGGCCTCCGCCCATTCTGTTGCCTTTCTCTGCACTGACCCCCATGGGATCACCCGAGCAAAAATGATTTGCACTTTTTCACGGATCATGAACGCGTCACTGGTTATGCAATGCACGGAGAGGGCAGAACATGCGAATACATCACTGACATATTCAGACGGCGTTATTTGCTCATCACCGGAAGAAAAGCTAATGCTGCCGTGGCCCACATACTCGCCCATATACTCAACTAGAAAGTGCTAATGAGTTTGTAATAAATATTTTGATTAGCTTTAGCTGTGTGCGGGGAATAGTTGCAGAAGTTTGGACGTGATTGATGAAAAAATGAATTTGAAGCCTTTTTTATATTCAGGAAATGTGTGGTTTTGATGAAGCGCTTTGAGAGTTCATTGAGTTTGCACTGTTGTAACCCAGAATGCTAAAAAACAAAAAATAGGGCGGAGAAAAAAGCAAGTTTTTGAATTTGTTTTGGTGCCAGTTCGGTGTCAAATGATGCCTAAAGTCACTAGTTTAGGGAAAGTAGTAGAAATGCTGCATGAGCTCCAGAATCCAGGACGCCTTCTGTACAGCTTCCCATAACATTGCTCTTACATCCTTTTATTGAAATGTATTGTTGTCATTTAGTTTAGCAGTCCTTTATCTCGCATATGTTTCAGGGCTTCACCTTTTTGTTTGTTTCACATTCATTTAAAAAAAAAAAAAGCTCTTATTTTAGAGCTTTCCTTTCTTCTGTGAAGTTTTTTTGCGGCCCTCTGTCTACTTCATACCGTCTCTGTTACCTACAGAGTGTTGCTTCTCCATTTTTGCTGAAATCACAAAGAACAGACAAGGCGACAGTAGCTCAGTTGGTTGAGCATTGGCCTTTGAGCCTGAAGGTTGTGGGTTTGGGGTTGGACAAGACACTTAACCCCACTTTGCCTGAATCCCCTAATGAAAGATCAAGGCTATGTTCTCACAGACAGAGCAGCAATCCTCCTGTGGACTCACCAGCTGCAGGAGGATCAGTGAGGCGCTGGTGCTCTGTGTACTGGGTGCAGCCCTGACTACCACCCCCCCCCCCCCCCCCCCCCCCCCCCCCCCCCCCGACCCAGAAATGGATTAAGGGGAAGAAGATGGATGGATGGAACAAAGAACAGGCGTCAGGTGTTAATCAGCTACATAAACAAATAAACAGCTGCACGTCTGTAGGATGTGGGTGAGAGACATATGTGAGGACACCAATTATTGTATTTTTGTGGTTCTTTTGAAAGAGAGTTTAGGCATCCCCCTAAATACCATAGTCTCTTTTCAACCTTACACTGTGGAAGCTATTTTTACATGCTAGTGCAACAACTGGTGACTAATAGTTCCTTCAATGTAGCTTTTAAAATCATTTTTATTTTCTCAGTCCTACTTTACAAGAAAACTGCCCCGTTTTGTTATGACTCAAAACACTCTTGGGGACTGCGCAGTGGCAAAACAGTGCACATTTAATTAACCATCAAGATAACAACACACCATTTTTAGAACAAGGACTTTACAAAATATCTAGTAGCAAATGCACAGCTTTCAAAATCCTGCGCATTGTTGTGGAAGTGCCTGGGACCTTATGAGTGGGATTTATGTGAAGAAGTGGGTTAAGATGTGGCTTTGAGGGCTGCATTGTGAGAGCCTTAGACTGGAGCGAGGATGAGGGTAGAAAAAAGAGATAGGGAGAGTAGGGGGGCAAAGGCAGAAAAGCTGTTTGTGGTTGTATGACTACGCACGACACTACTGTGACATGTGCGGATGCGAAGGCTGCAGCCATGCATAGATGTTCACGCCGTAGACAGTAAACAAACATGGCAGCGCGTGGTACGAGATGCGGGGGGGAGATACAACACACATATACAGCTGCTGCTAGTGTCATAGAGTATTTTTTTTTTTATTTTTGTATTCATTCAATCCACTGTGTCTCTGTTTGTCAGCGCTGCCACGAGGTTGTGTTCCCTGGAATGTGTTTGTCTTCGGATTAGAGCCCATAAAAAGCTTGCGCAAACTGTATACATAGGCAGTGGGAGAAAATTGTTTCAGTGCAGCACACTTAAACCTGGAATGCCTAAAATTTTGGGTTAGGGTTTTCCTTATGAATGCATATTGCTTGTCCCGATATAAAAGAGTCTTGAATTTAAAAAAAACACATCAGACCATGGGATGCTGTCTGTATATTTAATTAGAAAATATTGAAACATTTGTATGCTGGTAAGAAAGCCTTGTGAGTCACTATTTGACGTTTACTGGACAGCTTTTTAGTGTGGAAAGGAGCTTTTAGATCATCTGTACAGTATATAGATCACAGTCAAAACAAACAAACAAAAGGAAAGTGAACTAAATAGGGATGTAAATCGGTGACCGTTTAACCGGTGGTTGACCGTCACAGCGTTAACCGGTCAAAGCTGTCGGTTAAAAAAGAGAAAAGGGGGTGAGGGGAGGTCTCTTCATAACGCTATTTTAAGCCCTATTTGCACGATGTGACGAGCGGGTCCGTATCT